CCTCCTCCTCCTCCTCCTCCTCCTCCTCTTCCTACCTGTCTCCTTTCACCTCTGCGCCGGGTCAGTCCTCCCTGCCAACCTTCCCCAGCTCCAATATGTAGCAGTCTGTGGATGGCGGAGAGTGAAGGAGAAACCTGCCCCCCTCCCTTCCTCCGCCTCCTTTCCCCCCGACCCTATTCAGGTTTTAAGTCAAAAATGTTGATACGTCATTATGCACTTTACAGATAAGGGGAGGGGGCCACAGCGCGCAGAACCCATCCCCCCCAGTGCAGACTTCGGGGCCTCCACCCCAGGCCAGCAGCACCCAATGGGCGACAGCAAGCCAACAGGTCACAGAAGCCAACGAGGGGACTGTTTCTCTTCCACTCCTGTCCTTTTTTCTTGGTCTCTTTTTGCATTTTCCTTCATTTCTTTAAAAAGGGGAGCAAAGCCGTTTAGCAGAGAGGCTGGGGCTGGGGTCCGCACAGGGTTTGGGTGCAGGGGCGTGGCACCCTTTCCTGCCGGGAAGGGAGAGGGGAACTACCCCCCCAGCCCGCCCTCCGCCCCGCCCCAGCCGGCAGACTGTGCTGTTTCCTCCGCCCCCACCCCCATGTTTTCTGACCTGCCTGAGCTTGGGGTATTTATAGACTATTAATTTTCTGACTGAGCCAATAGTGGTTGGGGAACTCTTGAAAAAGGGGAGAGAATGGCTGGGTGCTGGGGAGTTCCCCCCTCCGAGCCCTCCTTCCTGGCCCAACCTGAGGGATGTGGATTTGGGACTGTCTGGGGGCCCCTCCTGCAGCCAGGATGGGAGGGGGTGCTGAGCTGTGAATCCCCTGGGCAGGGGGCAACAACTCCGTGTAGCATTAACCCCCGTGGCGGGGTCCGCTGCTGGTCTAATTTGGACCCCCCGCCCCTCGGTGCCCCTGCCCTAGGGGTGTCTGGCTCCAGAGGGGAGGGACAAATCCCCTCCTGGGGCCATTTCAATGGGGTAGTTTTTGCATTTTTTTTTCCCCACTCACTTTTTATTTTTTAATGATAACGGAGATGTCTGGGCCCTTCCCCACCCCGCCTGTTGGTCTTGTCCTGGCCCTGCCTGTCCCCTCCTTTGTTCTCGTAGGTGAACCCCAGGTCCTCAACTCCCCCCTTTACGTGTGGAAAGTTAATGGTTTCAGATGTGAACATCACGTGTTGTAACTGTAGCTCTGTACATTTTTTTGTGGGGGGTGGGCAGGGAGGGGTCCCAGAGGGTAGAGCTCAAGGATTTGGGGTTTTGTTTTGTTTTCGTTTTTCCAAAAAAAAAAAAGAAGAAAAAAAAATAGAAAAAAAAAAAAAGGAGAAACAGGGGCGGGTTTGTTTTTTGAAGAACTGTCTTGGATACCCTATTTAAATGTGTGTTCTGTTTTGTTTTTTAACGATTTTTAAATAACGTCTGTGCCTCCGCGGGTTGCGGGTGGAACCTCCAGGCAGGAACCGGCTCGCCACCCTCTGCCCCGTAAGGGCTGCCCAAGAAAGCATTACCTGCCCTCGGGGGGTCGGGCTGTGGGGGTCCCGGCACCTGGCGTGACTTTCATGTATGAAAACATAAAATTAAAAAAAAAAAATACCTACACGAGCACCGTGATTTCAAGTAATAAACAGAAAATGGAACATGTTGCCTCCCGCCTGCTCACCTGGTGGGGGGATTTGGCCTTCGTTGGGAGGGTTCCTAGAGCGGGGTGTCAGCTCAGGGCGTCAGAGGCACGGACCTGGGTCCCAGGGCCCCAGGAGGGGGTGGGGCAGGGGCCAGGGCCCTGAGAAGTTCCCACGCTCCCTCCTGGCTGCCGGGTGGGCAGGAAGCAGCCAGGGCGTGGGAGGGAGGAGCCCAGCCACTTCCTGGTACCCAAGGCCGGAAGTCCCTTAGGGTGTGGGGCCAGGGCCTGCCTGCCTGCTTCGTGACCCCCTCTCAGGACCTGCCGGTATGGGGGAGACCCGACCACCAGCTCTCCCCAGCCCCAGGAGTCGGGGAGGCTCCCAATTGGCCAGACCCCCCCGCTGCCCTTCCTGGAGTCTCATGTCTGTGCGGCTTGCTGCGAGGAGATCACCAGGCTGACTGGGAGGACCCAAGGTCCTGCAGGGTACCCCGCGCTGGCTGGCGATAAGAGGCCTGGCTTGACCCAGCCCTGGGGGGCCTCTCTGGCCACACCTCCCGACATTCCAGCCCTTCCCAGACCTGGCCTTCAGCTCCAAACCTGGCCTTTGCCCCTATCTAGGAACACCCCTTGTCCGGCTGTCCCTTGCTGTCTGGGAACTTCCCCAGCCTGTGCCTCCCACCCCTGTCCGCCCAGTCCCCCAGACCCCACCCTTCCCTCTGTCTGCCCCCAGCCTGGAGCTCCCCAAGAGCCCCACCAGCACTGAGTCCTCTCTGGGGTCCCACCTCCATCCGTGTCCTGGCTGGGCAGAGAGAGGGCAATAATACTATTGCATGTCTTTTTGTTTCTTTTTTAACCTGTATTTTCTCAGGTAACAGGAGTTGCCTAAGAGAAGTAAGTGGGCTTCCATTTTATAGATGGGAGAACAGAGGCCCAAAGAGAAACTTGGCCCACCCCAGAGGATTTGGGGTGTTTGTTCAATGGTGTGACCTCCACCCCTTATCCCATCTCTAGGGGCCCCAGCACCCGGAGCCCCGAGGGGAAGGGGCACAGGTCCAGGGAGTGGCCTGGGAGCACCTTCCTGAGACCCCTCTGCCCCTCCCAACGCCCAGTCAACCCCAAATCATCCCACGCCCACGGCAGGAAGGCGGATGCCCAGTCGGGCGGCGCCCCGGCCCCCGTCCCTGGTGCGGATGTCCCCTCGGGGCGCAGGGCGGGGGTGCGGGTCACCGACGCCCGGCCTGGGGTCAGGGCGAGGGCCCCAGGGTGCCACCCGCCCCCTCGCTGGGCGGGGTGGGGAGAAGGAAGGAGGATGTTGTCTGCAGCACCTGCTGAATCACAGGGGCTGTGTCTGCATCCTGCAGGGTGGGGGGCGCGTCCCCTGCACTCCAGGACCCGCTCCTCGGGATGCCGACTCCCACCCCAGCCTGGGGATCCCGGGGGTCAAGGCTGTGCCCTGGGGACGTGCGGTGGGGTGTGGAGCTCCAGGCTCAGAGCCCTGGCCTGGTGGGGTCAGCCCAGCCAGGGGTGCAGCGGGCGGAGGGGCGGCAGGCAGAGGCCACGTGTGCGTAGGGAGGCACGGAGAGGTAAACTGAGGCACAAAGAGGGCAGGGACCGCTGGGATCGCGGGGGGCGGGGTCGGCCCTGGATCGCTCCCTTCCCCCTACCATTGAGGAAAAAGCTGAATGGGAGGGGGCGGCCCCCGGAAACCCGCCGGGATGGAAACGCGGTTTCCAGGGCAACGCGCCGCGAAAGGAGCCTGACGTCACCCCGGGTAGGGCGCCCCGCCCGCCCCCGTCCACGCGTCGGGCGGCCCAGGCCCCGCCCACCAGCGGGGAAGCCTCACTGGTGATCGCACCGCTCGGTCATCTGCGTGCACCAGTAGCAGCGCGAGGCAGCCTCCAGAAGGCGGGACTTCAGCACGGTAGGACCGAGTGCGCAGACGCAAGAGCGGAGGCGCTGCGGCCCCGCCTCTCTCCCCGCGCGTCTGCAAACTTGGGGGCGGGAGGCGCAGCGGAGGGTCTGACGGCTGCGGCGGGCCCTGGACGGAAGAGGGGGCGAGCCCCGGGGCGCCGCACGTGGACCCCCGGCACGGACACGCTCACGTGCACCCGTCCTTTCACGCCAGCGCGTTTCCTGCTGCCCCCACCCCTGCACCACTGTACGTCCCAGACCCCGGCCCAGCCTCCCCGCGGTCCCTAGGCTGGGGTTGCTCAGACAGGAGGCCAGGAGGAGGGGGGCTCTGAGGCTGAGGCTTTGCCAAAGGAGCAGGAGTTTGCCAAGTGTTGTAGGAAGCGGAAAGGGTGCTCCAGGTAGGGGGCACGGCGTGTGCCAAGGCCCGGAAACGTGAAACCAAGTGCATTTGGGGAGCAACCGGGAAGTCAGTTAGTGGAGAAAAATCAAAGATGGGCGGAAAGGCGAGGCTGGCAAGGACCCTAAACGGTGATTCCCCAAGTCGGCCACTGGAGGGATGACTTGAGGGACCAGGGAGAAGGAGAAGGTGAGGGGGAGCGGCGGCCAGGACATCTGGGAGGTGGCTGGACCCGTGGCCTGGACTTTGGGGGGCGGTCGAGTTGGATCGATGATCGATGGGGACCCTGGCGGCCTCACCCTGGGGGAGGTAGAGACGGAAAAGGAACTACGGTGTGCCCGGAAGGTGGTGGCTTTAGGTCCACAGGGACGTGGTTGGCAAGGCCGGGGTAACGGGGATGGAGGAGGAAATCTGAAATGCTGGTATGAGCTCTGGGCCAAGAGAAGTGAGCACTCAGGAGGCAGGAATCCCCGTGCCGCCCGCTGCTTGGCTGTGGGCTCCAACTTGGTGTGTGCTCAGAGAAGGCAGTGGTTGAAGTGAACAGGGCCTGTGCCAGGTGGGGGGACTGTAGCCAAGGTCTTTGGTGCAGCTTGGCCTCTGGAGTGGCCTGGGAACAGAGCTGGAGCTGCAGGGTGGGAGCTGCCCTGTGGCTGGGAGCCCGTGCTGGCGTCCCTGCCAGGCGGTGAGCTCACAGGTGGGCAGTGCTTGGGGAGACGCGGCAGTTGTGGGCGGGCAGGAGAAGGTCAGTGGAGGTCATGGCTTTCAGCTTGAGGCCGGAGTCCTCTGGGGGAGGCCAAATGGGCCCTTGGAGCTGGCTTGGGAGGTGGCTAGGGTGGACAGCAATAGAAGCCAGGCAGCCAGGCCCCTGGCTTGGAGCCACTGGGTTGGAGGGACTGAGCCGGTGCCCAGGCACAGCTGCCCCCACAGGGCCTGGCCCCACCCGCCCTCCTCTCCCAGCACCATGGGAATGGGAGTTACCGGGCTGGAGGCTGGGGACGCCACCA